CCTTGGCATGAACAAAATAATAGGTATACTAGTTATATAGTTTTAATAGTTACTAGTACAATTCACCATTAAATAGTTAGGAGAGAACACATCCCAGTACTACTAGCTACAACCCCAAATGCTCTCTCCACTCTCGTATGGAATTTTTCCAGCCGATCCGTCAAATAGGGTCTCAGCAAGCACTTCAGCAACATTCAGTCTCAATAGTCTCAGGCAGGAATCTTTAATCACTGGGTAAATTCATCTAAGAGCCGATCATTGAGCTGAAGAAAGAAGCTGGCTTCTTGTCAACCCTCACACCATAAAGCCTTCTGGAGGGGATTCCCCATGCAGTTGACTATCCCATCTCCGGTGTGACAGGAATGGGAAAGTCTTCTGTCCTGATCTCTCCATGAACCCCTGGCTTCTGCTTCGATGATGAATACATGGATAGATTGATAATACAGATCAATCCGCATTTGCCTACCACATTTGTCAAGCTCCGTCAGCAAAAACAGTACAAGTCAGACAACTGTTTTCACCCAGAAACCACAGGAGAAACTTCTCCAAAGGACCAAACACATACACACACTCATGTGAATATTATTTGGCCATAAAGGTGATCTTTAAATATATATTTAATAATGTCAGTCATGTTAAGCGCCATATAAGCATTGCTTTAAACCCGATGTTCTATTCTTATAAAACTGCATCAAAATAAAATAGTGGTTGATGGTCATTGTCAAATTGTGGAAAGTATTTCTATGGAAATAATATCAACCTTCATAAATACCTGATCAAATCTGTCTTGGTTCAAATCCCAGCTCTACCATTTTCTAGCTATAACCTTGGGAAAGCTATGTAATTACTCTATGCTTCCATTTTCCCTGCTCTAAAATATATTCCCTACCACCACATAAGTTTATTATGACAATTTTTAAAAATACATTCTTGGAACCACATCTGATACATAATAAGAACTCAAAAAAATTAACCAGATTAGTATTATTTCCTATAATTCAAGTTGTGGGCCCAAAGACAGTACTCTGTATTATCCCATTACCTAACTTTCAAAAGAACAGTTACATCCCTGGCTGGTGTGGCTAAGTGGATTGAGTGTGGGCCTGCAAAGCAAAGAGTCATTGGTTCGATTCCCAGTCAGGGCACATGCCTGGGTTGCAGGCCAGGTCCCCAGTGTGGGGTGTGCAAGAGGCATCCACACATTGATGTTTCTCTTTCTCTTTCTCTTTCTCCCTCCCCCATCTCTAAAAATAAATAAACAAAATCTTTTTTTAAAAAAAGGATAGTTACATAATGAACAAAATTTAACAGTAAGGATGGTCTTCTGAATTTTAAAAACTTTTAAAAAGTGCTTTTGGGTCTGAGACCCAAAAGTGTTAAAAACTGCTTAGAAATATGGGTATTTTCCTCAGAGAAATCCAGTTATACACAAATTTCAGGGCTTCGTTCCCAGCCTTCTTAGGTCGGCTCGAAGCCAGCAAATGTGAGATGGAAAGCCTTTTTGGGTTTAAAATCCTTCAATTATCAAACTCTTTCTATCGACTTTAAACCAGTTTTTTCCCACCCTCCAAAGGCGTTTATAAACATGCATTTCATTATGTGTGTGATACAGCTGTTGACATTTATATATTAATCCCACAGATTAGAACAAAAAGCATCCCCTTGCTTTTCTTAAACCCACCAGGAATCTGTAGGAAAATTCCAAATTCCAGAACTATAACTTCAAATCAGATTCTGGACTTCCCACTTCCAATGAGCAGAGCAGTGAATTCCAATGTTTCAAACACTGTTTGGGGTCAAAGACCCACCTAAAAAGCTGAGTAGAATTATGGGAACACTCTGCCTATTAAACCTTCCCCACCAGGGGCCATCCCAAACCCTCTTCGTCTCTCTGTCCCTAAGCAGATGCTACTTCAGGAAAGGTCATTCTGAGTACGACCAGCACTTTGACAGGATAAAACAGAGGGAGAAAGAAAAGGGTATGGCATTAAAGCACTACTGTAACAAAACTTCAGAACTTGTTGAGACTTTTTAACTGAATGAAGTAAAATTTAAAATTTTTCATCACTTTGAAAATCTTAAATGGTGGTGGCTTTGTTTACAGTCCTTTCCTTTACATATTTTCACATTCTCTCTTTAGTACCTCCCCCCTCTGTCTGCCATGCCCCCTGAAACTGCTTGTCAATAAAAGGGCAGGTGTTTAACATTTAATCAACATTGCACTTGATGCTTCCAGTAGAACGGTTCCCCTTGCGGCTCTGCACAGAAGGATGCGGTAACCAAGGAGACCTGACTTACTGGTTCGATCCCGTCTCTTTAGGCACACCAACAAGATGAAGGTGCCCACCAGCTACCAGGTGATGCCATTACCAATGGGATGACATTAGAAAGTAGCTGTATTATAGCATTGTACCCCTGAAACCTATAAAATGTTATTAACCGATGTCACCCCAATAAAGTAATTTTTTTAAAAAGTAGCTTTAAAAAACACAATGAAAAATAATAACTAGTGGGAACCACTTCACTTCCAGTTTCAAAACTCCTGACTCATAACAATCTGCTATAAGCATTCCTGAAAAATAACCTCACTTTAGACATATGTTGAAGTGAACAAACTCTTACACACATGGAATTACATGGTTAAATTAAAATATATTGTGTACACTCGCAATATGCCATTTTACTAACAGTAGAAAAAATAACTGGATTTTCATTTAAAGCACAGTTTGCTCCCATGCACAAAAATTAATTCAAAATAGATCAAAGACCCAAATATAGGATCTGAAACAATAGGCAGAAGAAAAGATAGGTACTAAGCTTACAGACCTTGGTCAGAGAGAACATTTATGAACTTGACCCCAAAGGCAAGGGAGGTGAAGGCAGAACTAAATGAATGGGTCTACATCAAACTGAGAAGCTGCTGCACGGTAAAGCCACCTCCAATAGGGGATTGGACTGCAGTACAAGTCTGCATTTCTTCCAAGTTCCTAATACTGCTTCTCTAAGAGACAAGGGTCTCGTCCGGGGTTGGAACTAATAATACAGACCCAAGGCTGACTGCCACACAGGGACCATTCCTGCAAATTCCTCTCCCTGGGAAAACCAGGGTCCTGCTTAAAGAAGAAGACGCAAATTTGATTTTGTCAGCAAAGGTAGAGACAGCCGCGCAGGCGCACACACACACACACTTGCGCTGGCCCTCGAAGAGTTGGAGAGGGAACAGGGAAGAAGCAGGGAGCTGCGGTACCTTTCTTGAACTTTCTGAGCTCTGTTAGGTGAGAAACTCGGCGCTCTGGGCCGCCAGACCCCGTCTTCTCCCGAACCGGCGGCTTTTGGCGAGGGTGGCCAGGCGCACGTCCCCGCTGTCAGCCAGCCCTGGAGGCTCGCCGGCAGCTGGCACCACGCACAGAGGGCAGCGCGCTGGGGAGCCCGCGGGATGCGCAGGTGGACCAGCGATCCGCGCTCCTCTGGAAGTGGAGGATGGCGAGTGCAGCGCACGAGAGATATAAAGGGCCAGAAGGTGGAAAACCTCTGCACGCAGCGCAAGCGAAAACTGAAGTTGCGGTCAAGTGTTGCCCATAAGAGGGCGGGGCAGCCGGCCGGCAGCCTGTTGGGGGAAACGGGTGGGTCCAGCTGGAGTTGGGAGGGGCCCGAGGCGGAGACTCTTCTGGCAAAATTGGATCGCGCTCTCAACCAGCACCCCGGCTCCCAAAGCGGAGAAACGGAGCTCCGTACCTCCATCGAGTCCCGGCTGCAGGGTCGGGGCAGCGGGCGGCGCAGCCCGGGACGCGGCCGCCCGGCTCCCTTTTCTATTGGGCTACGACGACAGGGCGCGAGGGAACTGGGATTCCCCAGGGCGCTCTGAACCCAGGGAGCCCCAACCCCCCAGCGAAAAGAAAAGTGAAAGAGAAAGAGTGAGGAGCAGAGGCGAAGATAAACAGTCCCGGCGACTGGGGGGGTGGGGGAGGGGGAGGGAAGGATGGCAGCGTCCTGAAGGTAACGACCCCTGCAGTCGCGGCCCCCTCCCCCTGGCTTTGGTACGCAGGTCGGGTTTCTGCCACTGCCACCCCGGGGGGCGCAGGACTTGGAGGACTAGCGGGAGGTGGTCGGAGCGCTGGCCCCTGGCCTTAGCCTGTACCTCCTTGTGCACCTGCGGAGAGAGAGCGAAGAGATGACGAGGAGCCCACCTACGGCGTCCACGTAGCCGGGCGTGGCGCTGGCGGGAGGCCTCTCCAGCGAAGCCGGGACCCGGGACCCGGAGCGGCGCGGGGCGTATTGGAGCCCCCCCGCCCCACCCCAGAAAAAAAAGGGAAAGATGTGTTGGCTTGGGATGGACTCCTGCAGACCAGACCCTTGGCTCGCCGCGAAGGCTAGAAAAAGGCGGGCTCTGAAGTCTTCATAGAGAAAGCTTTGGGTAACTAATACTTTGTCCAGGGCACCTAGCACGAAGGGTGAACTTGAAGGAATGAGCCTGTCTACGGAGCCATTTCCCAGTCTGGTGCCTAGTTGGGTGTAAACACTGCACGTGATCCCGTTTAATGGCATCTCGTGAACTTGTATTATTGCAGTGTTTTACTGTCGATGCTGAGTAATCTGCATGCCAGAATCAGCAAAGGCCTTGTGCCCAATTGTGGAAGCGCTTTGGAGAACCTCGCGCACTTGGGAGCCACCAAAGGTCCCTAATGGAACACACGCCACCAAAATTTTCAGAGTTATGTCATAGAAAAAAAAAAGATAAAACTCTGTGGAGCTTAGTAAAACACTTATCTGTGCTTTTTTTTTTTTTGGTATTACATACATGTTAAAATAAAATAGAAAAATATTAGAAGCGATTTAAATATCAAACGGCATAAAGTTCCACATAAAACAAAATACGCGAGGTGTAGAAGTGCGAAAGGAGTTTTGTACAGCCATTCAACACTTCACCATAGTTAGAAATTATAATTAAGTGAAACAATCATTCTTCTCTGATCGTGCCAATCATTTCAAATCACTCATACCTTGCATAGGTAGCAACATCCTGAAGCTCTCATCAGCAGAATGAGAACACTGGAGAACCTGCATTGGGACTGGAGTTCTTTGCAAAAGTTACAGCAGCCACAAAAGGACTTAAGTACATGTCCATGTGGACACAGAGATCAGGGACCGAGAAATGGACCTGTGTCCCCAGCCTCAACTTGGACAACAGCAGAGCTTCTGGGGCTCCTGCAGAGTGAACTCCTTCCAAACCTCTTCTGGCCTCTCTGGCCAACGCTCTGTGGTCTGCAGCCGGTGGCAGAAGTAGATGTCCAGACAGGCAGGCACCTTATTGGCCACAGTCAGCACCAATGAGTAGAGCCAGACACGGCTGCTGCCGGAGGACTCATCATCACGTGCTAAATCCTGCTTTGTCTGGGCTGCACAGGGGAACTTCAAGAATCTGGTCTTAGCTGGGTTCAGTAGCTGGCAGACTCCAGAATCTCATCAGCTGTCCCCAGGGCTGAGGGGAATCCATGGCTGGCAGTACACTTTTAATATATGGCCACCTTGAATGTTCTAAGCTACTGGGGAGTTTTCACAACACACTGAAACAGATGGGAATTTTCTTCACAGAGCTAAGCGTTCAAGCACCATATGAGTACACAGGCTAATAAAATTGGTCTATAAATATTGATTGGGCTTCTAATATATGTAAGTTCTGGAACGAGATGGGCAGAATTGATATACAAAATATTTAGTTGGATTGGGGAGATAAAATAATGTAAATAACAGTAGAGTGAAATAAAAAAAAATAAGTATTGCCATAATAAATGCTTTGCTCTACTGCCTGCCTCCCAAATATGTAATATTGTTTTCTCAATTACAGAAAGAAAGAAAAGTATTTTTGAATTAATTATGTAAGTGCCTGCATCTCAATAACGTTGGGTTTTCAGCATAAATTCCTTCTGCACGGTGCACAAACAGAAGAGGCTAATGTATGCAACTTGTTTTCCAGTTGCCACAGGCTGTTTAGCAAGATATTGAAAATTACTCACACCAGTGAACAAGTAAATTCCACTGTATAAGTTAAACGCAAAGACCAAGATTGATGAAATAATTTGAAACTGCCTTAAGAGCACTAATAAATTATAATGTGCAAAGCAGCAGAAATTAAACTCACAGAAGTGACCATAATATTTATCTGAAGTTAAAGAATTAACAATAACATTATAGTTTAATAAGTTTTAGTATCCAATTTTTCATCCCAAAGGCAATGTTTGGCAATTGGGCAGTTGCCTTTAACATAAATTTCCAGTAAATGTTTCCTATAGCTTCTGAGGCTACGTGGAAAAAGTTAAAATTAGCTCATCTGATTTGGTGTTCAAAGTCCATGATTACGACTCTATTTATGATTTTCCGAAGAGCGAACCGCAGGCCGAGAAAACAAGTTGATCTTCTGGTGTTTGGAAAACACGGCCTAGGATACTCCCAACTTCTATTACGGTTAAAGCACCTGTGAAAAGTAGCCTTACCTCAACACTGCTCCCATCTCTGATTCCTTGGTGGTCCTGCCAATGGAATAATACTCTTCCTCTTAAAGATTACTGAAATTTTCAAGTGCTTCTTAAACTACTACTTTTTCAGAGCTGTGGCAGTACCGGTTAATATTTCTATTGTCCCTAGGGTGTGTCCCCAGGTGCTTGTCAAGCACAAATATTAACTCATTAAACCCTCACAGCCACGCTGTGAGATAGGAACTATTATTCTCTCCATTTTACAAGCGGAGAAACCAAGGCCCAGAGAGAGATTACAGGGCGTGCCCGCAGTGACATGCAACCGAGTGGCCCGGCAAGGATTTGAACTCAGAAGTCTGGCTTGAGTACACATTCCCTCCCTCTGCGGCCTCTAAATCGACAACCCCTGCCTGTCACACAGAAGGTTCCTGAGGGGAAAAGCCTTGCAGATGGTACTTCTCAGTCCAATTTTGTCTGCTGCAGAGTAATATTAGCCACTACCAGCGAGGAAACTCATCAGTTTCCTTGAATGTGTGCTTCTTGGTCTCACTGCACTTCTGTGATGACACTGGCCTGGGTGTTACAGACCTGATGCAAATAGGTTATCTGAATATGGTGACACACTGACAAAAGGCTGGCAGAATCTGAAACAGCAGGACTAGTAGCGGGCAGACTCCCGCCCTGTCCTGTTAGGGACGGATGATTTGGTCTGCACTGAAGTGTAAAGGTGTACTCACAGAAAGAGGGGAAAGGACACCTAGTTCCAAGCTCCAGATTATGAAAGACAATTATGTAGTAACAGACTTAATTCTTATTGTATTTAAAAGTATATGGAATCCTAAATGTTTTGGTACTTAGTAGGGGAAAGAAGCGGTTTAAATAAAATAAATAAAATAAAGTCGCGCTGACAGTACGGCTCTGAACAGTCTTTTAAGGCTGCCCTTGTCAATCAAAGTCCAGTTCAAATTATCTTAGATCTGTAACAGGAGAGTGCATGTATCTATGTCAGTACCTGTCTAATCTATATCCACGCATATATATCATATGAGAGTGTCATATTGACTCACTCCCCAGGCTGTCTCCTGCCCATGCTTTATGTACTAAATTTAAACAACAGCCATGTTTGATAGTTTCCCAACGTGTGTTCTGACCGTTCTCCAAAATAAACAGAAAGTTTGAAATCAACCATGTATCAAAGAAAGAAATCATAGAGGAAATTGTGAAATACTTTGAAATGAATGATAATGAAAAGAAAATGTATCAAAATTTACAGGATGCAACTGAGAGAAAAATGTACAGTTGTCAATACTTACATTACAAATAAAAAAGGTTAAAATTAATAGAGTAAGCTTCCACCTTAAACTAGGAAAAAAGAGGAAACTATATACAAAGGAAGGAAATGATAGATAAAAAGCTGAAATGGAATAGAAAAAATCAATGAAAACAAGTTATTTACTTGAAAAGATCAATAAAATTGGTAAACCTGTAGTTAAATTGCTCAAAGAAAAAGAAGAGAAAATACAGAGTTGCCAGTATCAACATTGAAAGAGGAGACATCACTACATACACGATAGACAAAAAAATAAAGAATGTAAAAATCAAGTTGGTGGCAATAAATTTGACACTTAAAGGGACAAACTCCTTGAAAGCCACAAGTTACAAAGGCTGATACATATACATACACACACACAAATAGAATGTTTAAATTAATCTATATCCATTATAGAAATTTAATTCATAATTAAAATCCTTCCCGCAGATAAAACTACAGACCAGAATGGATTCATTGGCAGATTCTATTAAACAATTAAGGAAAAATAGTGCCAATCATATACAAACTCTTTAAGAAAATATAGGGGAAAAGAACACTTCTCAACTTATTTTATGAGTTCATAATTACTCTGGCAGAACCAGCAATGATATTCCATGAAAAGAAATCTACAGCAGCATATTTTTCTGAACATAGCACAAAAATTCTTAACAAAATATTAACTATCTAATCTAATGTATAAAAAGGATAATACCTCAAGAACAAATGGGGATTATCCATGTAATGAATGCAAAGCTGATTTAACATTTAAAAGCCAATCAGTGTCATGCTCAGTAGTAATGGAACAAAGGAGAAAAAGAATTTGACCAAATTCAACGTGCAGCCATGATGAACCCCTCAGCACACGAGGGATGGAGGGAAACTCTCTCAACCTGTTAAAGAGCAACTACAAAAACTTCTATAGCCACTGCTTTGCTTGGTAGTGAATGATGAATGTCTGACTCCTAAAGTCAGCTCCAAGCAAAGATGTCTGCTTTCGTCACTCCCATTCAACTGATAGTGGGGAGCCTGGACAGTGCAATAATGTAGGAAAAGGAAAAAAGTCATAAAGAATGAAAAGAAATGGCTGAAAGTTCTTTATTTGCAGAGAATCAGTTCCTGAGGAACCTACCTGTAAAATTCCTAGTCATAGAAGCAAATGTAGCAGGATGCAAGAAATCTATGAATATAAATTTTAGGCTTTATACATCAATCATTAGAAATTACAAAATGTTTTCATATAATTTACGAAAGCGCACATTTAACGGCGCAACCTCTGCAAACTACAGAACCCAACGGGGAGAAGCTGGAGAGATCTCAATCCAAGGCTGACAAACCCTGGCCTGCAGCTCCCGGCCCGTTTCGTTTTCACAACTCAGCCCCACCCATGTGTTTCTTTCAGGTACTACTGCTTTGGCAGTTGAGACGTTCCAAGGGACCGTATAATTTATCGAAGCTTAAACAACATTTATGACCTTGCCCTTCACAGAAAAAGTTTATCAACTCTTCATCTAAATGTTCCAAAAGATACCATATTCATGAGTTGGCAGATTTAACATCGAAATGTCTGTCCCCCCTCCCCCCACACCGCATACCTATCCATTCCAAGCAATCCAGGCAGGCCTTCTGGTGCAGCAGGAGGGGCTGATTGTGAAATTGATATGCAAATCTGGGGAAGCTAAAAGAGGCTAAGCACTTTTTTAAAAGAACAATGTGGGAGAATTTATACTACCAGATATCAAGACTTAATATATTAAGTTATAAAAGGCCCGAGCAATAGAGTAATGTAGTAATGGCATAAGAATACACACAAAAAGCAATGGAACAGAATAAACAGGTCAGAAAAAAAAAACCCGCAGGTAGACGGCTAATTTGTCTTGGCAATTGTGCTAAGGCAAAAGTGAAACAATAATCTATTTGACAAATCATATAGAAACAACTGGGTTTTTAGCTGAAAAAAAATTTCCATTCCCAAACTCATATCACTCATAAAAATTAACACAGTAAGTGTAAAAATTAAAAAATAAACTCTATAGAAAGCTCAGGAGGAAATCTTTGCACTCGTGAGGTAAGTAAAGATTTCTTGGACAGAACACAGAAAAAGTACTATGAATAGAAAAAAAAGTGATAGCATTGGATTTATATCAAAATATGAACTATTTTTCTCAAAGTCCAGAATGAGTACCAACATCCTAAAAGTTCCAGAGAATCCTGCAGTTTAAAGTCCTGTTTGGTATTATTTGGCTCATTTCTCAAACTCATTAGTCTAAGAACCATTTTACAGTAGAACACCAATAAGTCGCTTGCAGAACTTGTACTGCAGAACACACACTTGCAAAGTGTTACTGAAGCCACATTGCTTTCTTCTGGAATAAACTTTATTATCAGTGCAGATCGAGGGAGGAGAGCAGTAACCGTCAAATAATTATTGCTGTCGTGGAATACTTTCTACGTGTGATTCACTTACCATTCAGTGCGGTATTTTTAATGTTTGGGAGTCACACACATTTCTCTAGGGCACTAAACGATATTTTAAGCCAACATTTTGTGATCGCTGTCCAACTTAACTATTTACCTACTAATAATTATTTACGGCTTGACATATTTTTTTACTCAAATGAAGAAGTCCTCATATAAAATTCACCTGGAGAATCTCAAGTTTAAGATTCTCCAGGCTAAACTTAGATTGCACTTCCTCGCATCAGAGGAGTCTGAAAGCCATTGCAGAAAGAGGCCTTAGTCTTACAAAGAAACTTAGCCTATGTTTCCACTTTATTTTGAAAGAAACTGGGGCATCGAGAAACTAGGCAGCTTGTATCTAATGAACTATCCAAGTAATGGCAGACCCCCGTACTGACGCCTTAGGAAGGGACCACGAAATCACTCAATTTCCTCAGCGGTAGATCTTAAAACAGACAATAATGATTGCA